GTGCCATTTTATTTTTTGTCTCAAACATGAGTACAAAGAGAAATTCTTACATGGCAAATTTCAAATTATACACAATTGCGTTTATTCAAAATTCTAACAACAGTATGGCTTGTCAGCAATTTTTCATAAATAGAAAACTAATTTGAGAGCGGAAAAAGGCAGGGTGCGAATTTTGCCAATAGATCTTTCGTTCTGGCAATAATGCAACAAACCACCATTATAAACAATTTCAAAAATAAAACAATTCATTTTCATTAAATGAATAACTCATTTTATTTAAATTTTTTTCATAAACTTGAGAAATATAAACTAAGTAAATAAAAAAGTGCAATATTTATTGATTTATCACTTGCGCACAGCTAACAGAAAAATAACTTTTTTGTTAGTGGATTAGAAGTTAGTGGATCTGTATATAAGCTGACACCTGTAATCTCACATCAGAAAAAGTTTTAAAAATATCCTGGCTTAACACAGAAATACACGGCAATCTTATTTGCGAAAGCCCAACCTTCTACCAGATTTTAGTAAATAATTTTTACACCACAAATGACAAAATATATAGAAAAAACAGCCTTACATTTCGATTTCAGACGGGAATCCTACCAAAAATAAACATAAGATATAAAAATTAGTTTTTGTACAAAAATGTGTGCTGAAGATAAACAAAACTGAAGCTCCCAGAATTAAATGCTTTCAGTTTAAGCACCATATGGTTAAACAGAAGCATAATAACATTTGACTGTTTCAACTGCTGATAGTTCAATAAGAATACTTTGGGGTTTAATAAACACACTCAATATGAAGTGATAGTATTTACAATAAGTGATAATAATTCAAAAGATTTAAGAGATTTAAATTTCTTATTCAGCATTTATTACAGATTTTTCATCTCTTTAATTATATGTTGGTGTAAAAATGGACTAAAGAAAATTTAATAACACAAAAGTTTGACAATTTTTCTAGAATTCAGAGTTTTATTTAGATTTATGGGTAAATAAAATTTAAGGAACTAAATGACACATATGAAAATTTTACTGAAATTTAAAAAAAAAAAAAAAAAAAAAATAAATAAAAATAAAATAAATAAAATAAAATAAATAAATAAAACAAATGGTTTATCATATTAGTGAAATAACCTGGGACTTTTCAATAATTCATTCTTTTCTGGGATATATGAAATAACAAGGAAGAAAAGTGCAGCAAACAGAATGTTATAACTGCTTTTGAAATTAACCTACACAGTAATTTGTTTTACATAATACTTCAAACACCGTTAGCTTAACAATAAGAAAGCAAGGGCATTTGTTATAAAATTTGCTTTAGGCAACTTTAACTAACAGAAAATCCCCAGACTTAATTTCAGAAATTCATCTACGCTTAAATTAATCTTAATTCAAAACATATCACAGTAACTAAAATATGGCATAACCCATCTTGCTACAAGTTTTTTTGCTGCTCTGTAGTACAAACACAGACTACATTTTTACCATGGCCTTGTTTCAGGATCTACTCCTAAGGCAATTCAACTCTAAACACTAGACATAACTTTCAGAATAGTAACTTGAATCCATATACAGATTTTACAAAATTTAAATAAACACATTTATGGAATTTGGAGAGGAAATATAAATCAATTTAGAGAAAACCATGCATTTCAAAATCAGTAATTTTAAAACTTTTCGTTTAAGGAAAATGGTACAAAAGATAGGGAAAAATGATATAGTTACTATTGACATAAATACTACAAATATTGCATAATATATATATACAGGGTGTTTCATAGATCATGAGACAAACTTGGAGGGCTGGTGGAGTGTACTAAAGCATGCACTTTTTGTATAGGAATGTAGGATCTAAAGTGACGGGTTAAGGCAGGAACGCAAAAAATCGACACGAGAGGAAAATGTGTTTATGTACAAAATCAACGCAAAGTGCTTCTTTGCAGCAATACAGTATTCACAATAAATGTTCAAAAAAGAGAACACTAACATTAATAGGAACTACAGCTGTGATTGGCTGGCAATGCAGCAGTAGAGGGCGGTAGTGAGCCGGACAAACCACGGTCTGATGCATCAGAGGATTATTCGCAACTCTGATGTCGAGCGAGATGGGCGAGTTTACGCACAGGGAAAAAAAGCTGACATTCATCTCATGTATGGTGCTGCTAATGGGAACGGCAGAGCAGCACTACAGTTGTACCAGAAACGGTTTCCGAACAGGTGTATGCCAAAGCACACAATGTTCGAGAGGTTGCATTGGTTTCTTTGTGAAAACGGGTCATTTGAAGCCACCTCTGACACTATGAGTGGAAGAAGAAGTGCACGAAAACCTCCCATTGAAGAATCCATCTCGAACATTGTGCATGAATCACCTCAGACAAGTACAAGAGCTATCACGTCATCTGCTGCTGAGTCATTCCACCGTTTGCAGAGTATTGCATGAAAATGGTTTGCACCCATACCATTTGCAGAGTCCTAGCCTTGCAAGAGACAGATTACCCTCTTCGAGTTCATTTCTGTCATTGGTTCCCAGCAGTGTGCAGTGCAGGTGGATTTCCCATCGGATGTGGTATTCACGGATGAGGCAACTTTCTCACGGGATGGCATCTTCAATAGCCACAACATACACGTGTGGGCAACTTATAATCCACACGGCACACATCTACATTTATTCCAAACCCGTTTCTCCGTGAATGCGTGGGCAGGTATTGTTAACGACTACCTCATAGGCCCATACACCTACCTGCATGTACAAATGGCTTATGTTATCATATTTTTCTGCAAGAGGTGCCACCAGAATAGCTGCAGGATGTTCCGGCTGTCATTCATGATCGCATGTGGTTCCAGCATGATGGTGCACTAGCCCATAACCACATGTGGGTCCGCAATTACTTGGATGGGACATTTCCAGGCCGATGGATTGGCCGTGGTGGACCCGTTCGATGGCCACCCCGTTCGCCAGATTTATCCAGTTTGGATTTTTTTTATGGGTCCATCTGAAGAGCATCATTTACGAGACTCCCGTTGACTCACTGGAGAATCTCATTGCACGACTATCCATTGCGGCTGCAAACGTGCAAAATGCCTGTCGTTTTTCATAATGTTCATCAGTCCCTTCTGCTACGTTACCAAGCATGTATTACTGCTGGTTGTCGCTATTTCTAACATTTATTGTGAATACTGTATAGCTACAAAGCCCTTTGCGTTGATTTTGTACATAAACACATTTTCCTCTCGTGTCGATTTTTTGCGTTCCTGCCTTAACCCGTCACTTTAGACCCTGCATTCCTATAAAAAAATGCATGTTTTAAAACGCTCCACCACCCCTCCAAGTTTGTCCCATGATCTATGAAACTCCCTGTAAATATAATATATTACAATATATTATATATATTACGCAATGAAAACTCTAAACAAAAATCTCATTGCCCATTTTATTATGTAATATGTTTCGAATAGATCATAACACACATTTTTTAAAAAGAAGGGGGAAGGCGGTGATGGGGTGCACATAGAAAGCTGAAAATGATGCAATGATATCCAATAAATTTGGAAATATTACGAATTTGTATTTAATGAGTTATGCTTAAGATTCTACATGAAAACAAACTAAAGTATTTTTATAAGTACTACAACTTTACAAATATCTTCCGTTTTAAATATACAGGAAGTTAAAAAAAAAGATTTGGCTGAATTTTTTTCAAATATAACTTCATCCGTATCACAAAACAAATTTAAATACCAAATGCAACACAACATACAGTTGTTATACCTCTGTTTGCCATTAAGAGGACTGTGCTTACACTTAAGGAATAACAAATTCATATAGCAGCACGTTTCAGGCTAACCTATTTCATTTATTTATTTTATGATTCCCAAATACACTGAAGTCTCAGGAATACTTTAGATCTTCCTCTTATTTTTTTACATCAAAACCATGCTCTGATACTACTTTAAACTGGTTTGCAAAATTTCAAGAACAATCTCATTTTGCAATAATTGTTATGACGATTAAACTGAGTAATGCCTGAAATCCCACTGCTGTCCTAGAATTGGTGAAATAATATCTTTACACTACACAGCTTCATATAACAGAGATTTTTGAAGATCAGGAAGGTTTAATTGCATCCTTTAAATTTCAATGAAGCAAACTTTTTTTCCCCACTGCATCTTTGATCAAATAATAATAAGCAATAAGCCCCTCATGAGAAATGGCAGTCTGAGTTGAAAACTTTTTAGGCAGAGATAAGATGCAGTGTATCAAAGATATAAACTGGGTTTGAAATTTGATCTAAGGTTTTAAACCAGAATCAATAAAGCAAGTCTATTGTATCATGTTTTCTAGATGAAACTCCTCCAAGTAAAAATAGGGATATTGCAAAAAACCCTCTTCCACAGTGGGACAAACGGCAATTATACCAAGCCAGTATATATTCAAGTGATAAAAGAAGTTACGAATATCAACAGCACGGCAACTACAATCAGGATTTCCTGGTTTGATGATTTATCATGACAAGAAAGCACTAACACAGCTGCTGAATATCTGAGAGAGAAATCAGATAGCATTTACCTTACTACCATAAATCCACTTGATGTTTACTTTTTAATAAATTGTTAGCATCACAAAACAAATTACGAGGTTAACTAAAGCAAGGAATTGAAGAGAACAGTAGCAGGACTTTTTAAATTATGATTTCTGAAGATGAAAAAAAAGGGGGGATATAGGTATTCTGGACAACAATGAATATAACTAAAATAATTTGACACCTTTTATAATTTTTTCTAAAAACTTTCTTAAATGACTCTTTTAAAAAGAACAAAGATAAATAACTACAAATACACACAACATGCCCGACAATTTAAAATGCAACAAAAGGAATGCTTCACTTGTTACACTACAGACAATATTTATAAATTTCTTCAAATAAAACTTGTTTTAATAAAATTTTCACAACTGAGATGTTTGTTGATAAGCTTATGAAAATACCATCTGAACAAAAATAAAATTCTGCACACAGTTTTATTGCTACACAAGTGAACACCAAAAATGCATTTACTATCTGTTTCAATTTTCTTTTGCGGAAGATCACAGAACTATAGAGTCTTTAAAAATTTGTTTAAACAAATATAAGAATTAAAATATGAAAAGTATCTTCCATATTCTGATAACATCTTTAGGTAGATCATTTTACATTTGGTAGAAAACATTTCAAAAGGAAAACCTTCCAATATAGCTTAGCTGCATAAATATGACTAAAAAGATAAGTCATCATTTCTTTTTACAATTGGACATCTTAATAAGTTTGCTAAATTACGAAATAAAAATATCAGAATCTACAACTTAACCATCTAATGGCAACTTGTTCTCACCATGCTTACATACAGTAATAACATAAAATGTTTTACTATGATAAATGCAGTTCATGAGATCTGACTTGATTTGAGCACCATGTATTAACTTCAGCACAAACTGAGTTTATCATCATCACATGAATGGGTGTATTACCCTATTCACCCAGATGTAAGGAATGAAAAGGCATGGGACAGTATTACACTGTCCCTATATGATTGGTGGTATCTTCTAAATTGCATATCCTTTTTGTTACTTTTGTGACAATTTAAGAGAATTTAATGGCCTCTGAATATGAATTTAAAAAAAAAATGTTTAACAAGCTAGTTTTTGTACCTAACGTAATCTTACATGAGGAAAAAAATGGTGTACCTTTTTCGGCAAGTGTACAATAGAAGCAATGAAAAAATAACAGATGCCAAATGCTTTTAAACTATGTTAATTTGCAAAAATAAACAAAAGGAACAAACGGAATTTTAGAACTATATTAAATCATAAAATAAGCATATATTTTATGTTTAATACGCATAATATAAAATATTTTGATATAATCAATTTAAATTGTCAGTGAAGTAACACAAAAGATTTTTTTTAGCATTGAATTTCTTAACCATGCATGTTTTATATTCAAATTTCATTTCTTCTTTTTCATATGAATGATCCAACGATGAAAATGATGAACTTTGAAACACCAAACTGTGTGAAAACACTCAAATTTTTCAAAAAAAAAAAAAAAAAAAAAAAAAAAAAAAAAAAAAAATTGCATAATGGTTTTTTTTCAGTACACCCAACTGACAGGCACCCATTGTGAAACTGTACTAATATTCTCAATAGCTTTCTCTAAAGCATGTATAGTTTCTTCAATGTCATTATTAACTATTGTAACATCAAAATAATGTCCATAGGCTTGCTGCAGAAGGTCACTTTCTTTTGCCAATCGTTCAAGACTGCCATCAGCCTACAAGAAAAAAAGTAAATAAATGTGTAGCACCCACATTGAAACAGAATAGATATTCAAGATGCCACTAGATTAAGACAGTCCAGCTTGGTAATAAAAATTTCCTCATATTTAATTTTTTTTATAAAAAAGGTTACTGTTTATGTCAGACTCATCCAACACAGCAAACTTGTTATAAAGGCTGATTGCTAATGATGCAATGCATTCAACGAGCGAACTGATTTTTATGTCAGATCATTCTGCAATCACTATATACCATACAGAGAGAGTTAACCCTGTGAATGGCATGGCATTTTGAATCTGCTCCAGAAAACCTGTACTTAAATAGCATTTAATAGCTAAATTTGTATGACTATTTATTTATTTATTTATTTTTTAAGATTTACATCATTAAAGAAAAAAAGAAAGCATAATATTTTAATTTATAAGCTAATATGTACTAAATGCTAAAGAAATCTCATGACCGAAAAAAGGCAGTCAAACCACTCAGCGTGTTAAATAATGTCCGGCATCTCTTTTCACATGAACTGGGGTGCTTAAAAAGAAGCAATAAAGAAATTAACAAAAATAATGCCATTAAAAATAGCTTAACCAAATAATTAACTATCAATAATCCTATTCCTTTTCTTCATGTATATGTAGGGCTAGCATCAGAGCCAGCACAACTGATGTAGCCACACTGGGTGGCATAATTTAGGAGACACAAGGCAAAATGTGTTTTTGTACAACTGCAATTGAATAATACTTCAGATGAACTAAACTACGCCATCTATATTATATGATTAAATCTGGATAAAAAATGTTCATGTTAAGAAAGTACAGAGAATGCAAATGTCCTAAAATGCAAGTTCATAAAATATATTACCTTTTAGCTTTGATCATTACTAGTGGCCCTCTTAACTACATTTAACTACAGAAATAATATATTAAATCATAATATTTAATTTTCATTGTGACTGATTTATGTGAAAAAAAAGCACACAATATTCACATATTTTTAGAGGTTTAAACACTGGAGGGCAAACTAAGATCAATTTAAAATGTAACAAATTAATTTCAAATCAATTTTGCAACTAAAAATTTCTTTTGCTTTCCTTTACCTACATATGTTTGTTAAAATGAGTTATGATAAAAAAAAAAAAAAAAAAAGAACAGTTCTTGGGCACATGTACTGCTTATCAGAATTTTAATGTAATTTTTCAGTACATTAAGAAAAGAAGCTATCTTAAATTTTAAAATGGATTCATCCATGTTTTTGCTTTACTATTAAAGAGAAATCCTTGCAAACTATGTGTGAAGGTCGTATTTCTAACTGTTGAAATTTATGCCAGCCTTATAAAAGAACAAACCAATCACAGCAGAACAAATACAAACTTTCAGTCAATGAAAATATAAAAAATGCCAAGCAAATAAATATATGCCAAGCAAGAGTAACTCATCTGGATAACTTGCATTATGTGAGTGGCACCTTCATGTTTAAAGGTCACTTATGAAAATTGACTTTATTAAAAATGGGCACTCAAGACCTAGGTCCTCACATTTGCTATTTGTAAGCTACCTGACTGGCTCACTTAAGGGTTTTTGAGCTCATGAATTCTGCCATACTTATGAGTAGCATGAATCAAAAGATCATCCATGGGATTTATTTCTGTATGACAAAGAAAGGGAATAAGTAGTTAATCAAAACACAAGGATAATAACTCAAGTTTGCTATCTGTCAGTCTGTGCATTAGAGTGAGGTTCTACTTATACCACATTTTCCTTTTAATAGCAGTATATAAACTATCAAAATTCAGGTCGCATAATGATCATACAGGTGACTCTACCTGTAAACCTCAAGTCTTCATTCAAGATAATTTAAATTATCTAATACAGAATCAGAAAAACTCCAAAAAATATTTTTAGCTTTGGTTTCAATGTAATAAAGTCACAATCAACTTGAAAAGATAATGACGTATTCCCTTCATAATCATTAAAAAACTTTCAAGATTTATATTTCAAAGAAAATGATATTTGTCCCATGCAGATGTAATGGGTCATGAACAAAAAACAACACATCGCAAACTGGCACCGACTCTTCAAGGCAATTCATTTGCATAATGGGTGAAAACTTCCTTCCTTGCCATTAGCTTGTTTAATTCAGTGGTCTCAAACTAGCAGCTAGCAGGCTGAATCTGCACCCTGAACCAATTTTACATGGCTCATGAATAAATTTCAAGTATATATTTGTTGGCTTACTGTTTTAGAGAGAGACAGACTGAGCTCATATACATGACTGCTATCAAAGAAAAAAAGAGACAGACTGAAGAGGTTTCGGTTTTGTCATTGTATGCTAGGCCAAATGTGTGGTTAAAGTAGATATTCATGCATCTATATAATCAGTAAATTTAGTTCACAAGTCCACAGTTGTTCCACGCTGCTGTGTTAAGATATTTCCAGTTTTTTCTTAATGAACTGACATTTCTAATATACACTTTCCTTGAATTGATTAAATTGATACACAACTGCATAGTTAATATTGCTATACAGATGGAGAAAAACCAATATGACTTGAAAATACATGTTTATTTATGCATGTTTACATGTTTATTTGCACCCATTATTAAATCTACATTATATCAGAACTGCACATAACTTTTGAGTGTTGCTATTATATGAAAATTCATCTTGCTGATTAAACGTCTAAATAAAATTATAAGCGATTTTAATTAAGAAATGAAACTGCAGGTCATGTGTTTAAACAAAAAGGAAAAGAAAAGTGTACAAAGAAGGATGTGTTTCAAGATAAATAAGAACATGGATACACTAAAAAAAGGGGGGCGGGGAGCTACGCTATGACACATGGAAAACCAATTTGGAATTTCTTGGCTGAAAATTTAAATATTATCAATGAAGAAGCTACAAGGAAAGAATAAACTTATGATTGGCTTGTATTAAAGCTTTCACAGTTAAATAGCACTTGTGAGAAATACAAATGGAATGAAAACCTTTTATACAATTCCTACACCTTAAATCCTTGCCTATTATTTCATATGAAAAATTCTCATGATTAAGCAGAAAAATATAACATAATTACAACATGGATTTGAAAAAAGATTTAAAGACTTCACTGACTTGGATCAGATTTTACATTATTATTAGCATTTAAAATCAACATTAATAATGCACCAGAAAAATCAAGAAATGGAGCTAATTAATTTATAGTTATAAGTCTTATTGAAACATTTAAAAATACAGATTTCATTTATATTTCTTTGTAACAGTCAAAAAATAAATATTCTCAATTAAAAGATTTTTTTTTTTAAAAATCACTTTGTTTGGGACTACATTTATATGTCAACATCTTTCTTTTTTCACATTTGAGAATAAATAAGAAAAGAAACAGAATGACCGATGAGTATGTATAAGATAATGAAGATAATTCACAGTAACTTTTTTTTTTTTAGCTACAAACTTTATCAGAATTGAAATACAGCCAAAGGTCAAGTTGAAATAAGAAATACAGATGTTTATTTACACATAAGCTAATCGTTTTGTATGAGTCAAAGGAAAATTTAATAAATAAAAGAAAGAGTTTACGTTTCACTATTTACTCTCAAATTTTTTCCCACTTGGTAAGTTTTCATATTTGCTCATTTTCAATTTTAGTTAAAAGAGATTGTATGGTTAACTGAACATGCTGGAATTATTTGAAATAAATGGCAGTCTGAATATTTAACTGTTAATACATCTAAATTAAAAGTAACCTATAGACTCCAATCTATAGCAAATTATCAATAATCAAAGCCTGAACAAAATTTTTACAAGCTTGGTGCACGTAAAGCACATTTTTTTTATTAACTATAAAATTTAATTAACTTAAATCCAAAAAATATACAGAATTGAATAATTAAAAAGACTTGTAAATTATATGCGTACAGAAATAGAAAATTTCATTTTATTACACAATCAGAAGTATCACTAAATCTACTAATATAGTATTACTAATGCATGTATTTCAAATCACAAATAATTGTAGAGGAAATTAGTATCCATAAATCATAATCCACTGAGGGTTTTGGATTCTGTTTTCTATAGGGAAATAATAAATAAATTTTTCAAAAAATGAGATTCTAGATAAATAAATAAATACACAAAATCAACAATTATACTTATAATTCATTAGCACATAATGAATGTAAATATTTATAAGAATCACGCTTTGCAAACTTAATTTTTTTACTACATGGTTTTCATATGCCTGCATGTTTTACTTTCACAATGAGATCAGCTTCAAGAATTTTCATAAGTAAATTTGATAAAAATACACACCGATTTTTTTTTAAATCATTGAATAAAGTTCACAGGTTGCATGTGAATGAAGTATTTTTTGAGAGTATCAGCAAACAAGCTTCAAATAGTCCAAAATTTAAGTTAGAAATTTGCATTTAATTAAAAATTGAATTAAACAGCATTCGGCTTTCATTAAATCCATTTCACCAATTTTTACGAAGAAATTTGATATTTCTTTTGATTTTATAACACTAATTTCTTAATGCCTTTTGGAAAAATACATGCTATTTACAGTCACCTTTTTCGCAATGCATGACCAAAAAGCCTTTGTTACTAGTGCAAAATTTACTGAAACTTTATATGCTTTAATGTATGAAAATTCTGTAAAATACGAGTTTTTAAATTTCTGGCTTGACTTCAGCGAAATCACAACTTGCAAGAAGCATTTGCTACATTTTCTTGCCACAATATAAGCAATTGGAACTCGCAGGATGTTTGAATGAGTCAGAATCTGAAAACCTATGACTGACTACTCTTCAAACTCAGCAAGACCATCAACTTAACGCTCATACATGACATCACAAGCATTTCGCAAATTACTAGAGAAATAACTTCATTTCGTTTTGCATATAATTTTCTTTGCTCTCCTTTCAACAGAATCTGCACTTTTTCTGGCATTTTCCATAGCTCATAATTTTTAAGTTCTACAGAAACTACTGAGAATCCAT